ATTTATCTCGTCTCGCGGCCGAGTTGCCCGCTCCCATTAAATTCCTTTCTACTTGCATCTGATCGCGTTGCACTCGCCCGAATATAATTTGTACTAACCAGCAATCCGTGCCAATGATTTTGACTCTGTAGCCGCACCCATTTCTTCTGCTACCTGTCGCTCCGAGTACACAGAAGCCCGAAATGGTTTACTCCTTCCTCGGCGACTTTTAAAACATCACGTACATATCCCGGTGCCTTCGGCACCCGCAAGAGTCACAAATTGCCACTTGAGTGACGTCGGATTCTTTAAATCTTTAAATATCTTTAAAAATCTTCCCTCACCTCCATTCTCTTAAAATCGAATGTATTCTTGTATAATTGCATATAATTTTGGTTCTGCCAATTCGTTCTTTTTCTTTATATTGTGGAGATGCGCGAAAAATCAAGATTTTTTAAACATAGCTTTTTTATCGCTGTCCCTATCATAAATAAATTTTTTACCCATATTATTCTATATAAATAATGTAAAGTGGAATTCTTGATATTTCGAAGATCGTTAACATTTCTTAATTCAATAATCCAATTGTATCAAGTAGAATTACTCGATATGTGTTTTGACGTATCCCTAAGAAATATCTACGTACGATTGCTTAGCGATAGTGATCTTAGAAGGTGAAATGTGATTATTTTACATATTTTTAGCGAGAATTGTTAAGAGTTGTATGTGCATGTGGTGAAATTTCAAAGACAAGAATAATCCATGAAACGTTATGTACGGTCTATCAAATCTGTATTCGCACTTTTTCAAGTACAAATGCATCTTTAATATTATTATTCATAATTCATAATTGTATTTCTCATGCTAGTTTGATTAAATTTATTAAATTATTCTTTAAAGTCATAATTAGAAATACAATGAATTTCTTATTATAAGTTTGTAGCTTTAACAATCGCATCCTACATACAATTCTACATACAATTAGCTTAATTTATTTTTATTAAAACATTCATTTTTTAAATCGAATGTAAAACATTGTATTTCATATAATTCTAAGACTTTTCAGCAAGAAATCATTAATCATTGAAGTCACATCGACTTTTTAATTTTTAATTTTTTTTAATTACAGGCCCGTTGTTTGTAAATCTTTACGCCTCGTCCTATTTCTTTTTCTTGTGAATTCAATAGCAGCAACGTCTATGTTCCCCTATTTCCAGTATCGCTTCTACTTTCTCATTATCGTGACTAATATTGACCGCTTTTATACTTTGCTAAAGCGTGTTTTTCATTTGCTATTTGGTAGTAGGCAACGATCATCACGTTCTTGCACTGGAATTCTCATCTACTCTTTTTTTATCTTTAATATTACTGCTATAATTTCTGAATAGATATTATTTCTCGAAAAATGTACGACAATGTTATATACATCTATATATAATTATTACTTGAATTCTCATAAACATTGGATATAATACATAACTATTATAGGATCCGTTTCCAACATAACAAACTACATATATATTTATATTGTCATCACGAATGAATTCTCATAACTCTATACTGAATGTTATTAATATTATAAATTAATTATCGGTATTACACTCCCAACCTCTGAGATAAGATTTTCTTTCAATAATTCTACTTTGGACCTAGTCGACATACTCCAACCGAAACATACGCGGAATAAAAAGATATTTTGTATCTCTACGAATGTAAGAAGCTGTTCCTTCATTTACATATTGTTAAAAAAATTATAAATTATTTGTCACTACATTATCTATTAAAAATTATTTGGAATTAATGAATAAATATATACGACGATACATTTCTGAAATATTTAACAATTACAAATGTTAATATGTTTAATGTGGATTAAATTAGTTTTCAGCCATGAAATAGTTAAATAATAATTCTTATCATTCTTATCTAAATGTATTATTAAGCATAAAACTAATTTAATCCACCATTACGTAACAAGTCTACACCTGTAGGAGCAAAATTTTATTAAACAAATAAGACCTATAAAAAAAGGAATTCTAGACTTCTTATAATTTTATTCGCTTAAACCATTGCCGCATTAATGATCGAGAAAGTTGAGTGATTAAATATAATAAATTTTATATGATTATGTGATTTAGATATGTATTGAGGTATCCAATTAATTGGATCGAGAGAAGCAGAGAAACGTTTATAATAAGATCGAATGATGATTTGGTAAATTAAATAATGAACATGCAAGTATTAATTTTTGATAATTTAGGATAAATTGATAAATACATCTAATTTAAATGACATTATTTTACCTGTAATAGTAAAAAAAAAATTTTTTTGTTAACAGTCGGCTGTATATAGTATAAAAAAATGGAAATATTCTAGTAAAAATGAATTATATTTAAGTATTCTTTATAAATTTATAAATAAACTATGATCGATAACTTAATAACCTCGTATATTTTACGAATGATTTTTATATACTAACTATGAACTTCTATAATCTGTTACTTTATAGTACTCGTTAATCCAAAAACATTAGATAACCATTAAATTTGTCTTTTTGCCGGTATTTGATAAGAATTTATAACTTGACACAGTTGGAAATAGAAAATAAGCTTTTAAATCAGATATTAGAGACGTAATAGAACTTTTCAAGCTATATAACTAAGAAAATAGAATTCAGCAATAACTATAAATGATAATTTATAGTAAAATTACTACTGTCTTGTTTGCTCTAATGTATGAAAGAATTTTTCATTTAAAGCTAAATCATTGCGTATATCAAAAGATTATAATAATATTATTCATTAATTAAATCAAATATTAAGTCTTAAACATAAATACTTTGTTTTACTTTATTTATGAAAACTGAATTTGTTCTATTCTCTATTTATTGTCGTTGATTCTTGGAAAATGACAATACAATGTAAATAACGAGTGCCGTACAGAATATGGAGCCGAGTCATGTTTTTCGTAATAAAATTAATCAAATTATAATATTTAATATTATAACGTTATATGTAATAATAATTCTGCAAATGTATTTTATTTTTAACTCCAACTTATTAAATAAGTATTTATTTCTTAACACAGGACTGATATTTATAATTGTCTATAAGATTCATTATATTTAAGTAATGTATTTGATAATAGAAAACTTTATACATAAAATATAAATAATATTGAAACAAATTGACAAGCTGTTTTATACTGTTATTTATACTTTTATCTAAAAGAAACCTTCATAAACTTATCTAATTTATAAAATATAATTCTATTAAATATTCCGCAGCACAATATGAATAAGAAATTATAACAATAAAAGTACTGGCTTCCAGATATCCTAATATCTGTAAGTTGTCTGACATTAATCTAATATGTGTTTGTATAAGACAATGTACCAATTGATTTAGATCATTTAGAAACGAAATTAACGGGCAAGTAAACAAAGTTAATACATGTCATTTGATTGAATATGAAACGATAAATATTGCTAATTATTTATATATTTATAAATAAATTTGATTGAACGAAAATATTTCTAAGGTATGTATTACATATGCCTTAGGGTAAAAATTTAAAAATTGTGTCACAAAATTTTTTTTATTAATTATAAAATTTTCCATCTTACTTTTCGTAATTGAAAGTGATTTTATAATTTATGCGAATACGAATACGGTTAATTTGAGCTTTGAATATTTTAAGGAGTGAGTTTGCTCCTTTCTTACTAATAGTCTAGTTCACAACATACTTGTAATTAAATTATCATACTTAGTTTAAGCATACGTACATTTATAAATGTGTATACACACACACACACACACACACACACACACAGAGAGAGACACACACACACAGAGACACACACACATACACACACACACGCGCGCGCGCACATACATACATACATTTAATTGGTTATTATTCAAATTTTAATTTAAAATTCTTTATAATCATTGTGAGAATTTATATTCAACGATTTCATTGTACTATATAAGTTACTATTAATAATGAAATTATAGAAAGCTATTCAAATTCCAAATAGAAAAGAATATGATTACTTTTTTCACAAAAATTTTAATTCGTAAGAAATTTAGCTGAGTGGTGAAAATTTTAATTTCAAAATTTAAATACAATAATATAAATAATATTAATAATATAAATTATATATAATACCGAAAATTACATGAAAAATCTTGATTAGATCAACATACAAATATACAATGATTAAGAACAAGATGAATGTTCATAGAACAATCAACATATTTGCAAATAATGCGGAGCATAGAGAAAAACTTTAAATTAAAGGTAGCAGGTCTAGAAAGTAAACATATTAAAACAATAATCTTACGATTCTTATTTAATATACGCATTTATTTACTACATATACTATGTCTCTATGTACAATTATATATATATATATATATATATAAATTTATGTATAAATACATAGTAGAGATATAAAATCTTTTGATCAACGAGTACACCAAAAATATATTGAATATATAACCGATTGTCTATCGATTTAAGACGCTTTCAATAAATTCCTTGTACAAATGAAAGGCAATAAGAAGATTTATTTTCCCTGAATCGTTAGCCCTATGTGGACATGTTCCAAGGATAATGGCTATAAGCTTATTGTTATACATAACTGGACCGCCACTGTCACCCTGAGAAACAATATTATGTACATTATTTTCTTTATTCATAGAATAAGCATTTGAGCATTTAAAAAAAAATGCATTACTTCAGTCAGAACGAAAATATGCAAATTTTAAATTGTAATGTTAATTAAATTGAATTTTAATACTTTCAGTTTATTTTACACGCACATTATTATATAAAATTGCGGAAGACTCGATAAGACAAGAAAGCGATTTTACTTGCGCACAAATCAAATCTGAAACCTTGCATGTTCGTAAAGAAAACTCCCGGTTCAAATAATTAAATTAACCCACGCATATGTATTTTTTTATTCGAGTCTTCCTCGTATAGTTATCCTTATTCCTTAAATAATTAATTTTTATTTATGGATTCACCTACGAATGATTTTAGAATTAATTCTTTCACTCATAATTTTTTTAATTTCGTAGCTATAATTTTTCTAACTTTCAATAATTTTCTCTTTATACATAAATCACTAATAAAGCATAAATGAAACATCGATTAGTATTTCAATGTTAAATGCATAGGTCATATAAAATTTCTTTTTCTATACTATTTATTATTTTATTAAAACTATATAAAAAAAAATAATTAAGCTTTTTCACACTTACGATAGTGACTAATGCGTATGGCTCTCCAATTGAACATAGAAATCTTTTATCGGCAATAACTTTCAGATCGTACATGTTCAGAAGTCTTTCTTCGCATTCCGAACCCTGTATGGTTTTTAATTTAACCGTTGTTAACATCATTGATTCACCATCTTCGGATGGCTTGCCCCATCCGGCTATAGTAACAGTTAATGGATATGTATATATATATGGTGCGAATGAGATGACTGCTGGTGTTAGATCTTCGGTTACATCTCTCGTTAACTAAAAGAAATGTGTTTCATCAATAAATAATGTACTCAAAAGCTAAGTGGTTTGCTAAACAATGTATAGAAATTTTTAGTAAAAGCAGAAAATAAAATACATCCAGTATAAAAAATTTACAAAATATATTAAATAATCAGGATTTACATGCACTAATGGTTTAATTCGTGTGAAAGTAATATTTAAATATACTTCACTTCATTAACATGAAGTTTTCGAAAGCTGTCTCATGATAATAGCACTTTTACTTCAATTAACTATAATTTTAATACATACTTTGTTTAATATAAAAATTTCATTTAATAAGTATCAAAACCTATTATAATATATCTCATTCATTCATAAATTCATAAATATATTATTCATAAATATATTACTAAATATCACATAATATTAATGACTTATATTAAACGAAATTTGTTTAAATAATGAATTATAAAGTTTTGATCGTTGTACAGTATGGTAGTCTAATGTAGATTTTTTATTTTATATTGCTGGATAAAATTTACCAAAAATAAAAAATTAACATTCTCATACGGTCAATGCTTATAAGTACAACATTTTTTATCACTGTGCCTCACACAACTGAATAATTTCATATAGTATATATATATATAGTATATATAGTATATATATATATATATTATATATATTATATATATTATATATATTATATATATAATATATATAATATATATAATATATATATAATATATATAGTATATATAGTTAAAAAGATTTTTACTTTGCATATATCGATTTCACGTTAACTTTTCGAAAATTTGTCAAAAATATTTCTAAATAATTTATTTACCCTTATAATTCCAATATCATTTTCCGGGAATTCAGGAATTATATTATTATATAATGCCCATTCGTTGTATACTATCCACCAAGCTGCAAAATATCTTTTACCAATGCTTAGATCAACCGATCCAACTAATATTTGCATAAGATGTAGTGTATCAATATCCAAACAGTGCCCAGCAGTTACAACATCCCTGATTGAAATTAACGATCCCGTACATGTTTGATATGGTTTTCGTACTTGCTGTTCATTATCAATTCGCATAATAACTACCGCAAACGGAAAATCCCATAAGTTTGCTTGTTTAACATCCTGCCCAATTATGGCACTTACTGCACTATATTGATAAACTAATAAATAAACATTTTAATTTTATTTAATTATGTTATTGTTTAATTATGTATTGTATTGAATAATACGCTTGATATCTTATTTAAATATCAATATTATTACTTACAAAAATATAATATAAATTGACTGATAAGTGTATAAATTTTAAGATGCATACTAAATATCTGAAAATATTGCCAAAAAATTGATTAAAGTATTATAACAATTAACGACCCAATTCTAAAAAATATTATATAAGGTAGAAAAGAAACATGATTATAAAACAATAATATTTATATTATTGTTTTTATATAAGTTAAGCGATATGTATTTAGAATTAGTTTAAATTTAATTTACAATTTCAAAATTATTAGTTTTTTATCTTTCAGAAATATCTGCATTATGTCATATAAATTTTATTACATTTATATCGGCATTACAATTAGTTAAATATCTTCGATAAATCCTACATCCAACCAACTATATTGCATTAACATGCATTCGAAATTACATTTACACTATACTTTGATAAAATTAATTTATTAAGAAATATAGAAATATTTATTATGAAAAATATAATTCGTTTTGACGCTTAAGAATATTTATAATATTTAATAAAATTTATATCGTCTAAATAACATAATACGAAGGCGCTTACATTGTAAGGTCGTAATTTGTAACAAAGCTACATTTAGAGTAAAAATTGTTATCTTTAATGGAATACTTCAACAAAAAGATGTAAAATTTATATAAAAATCCTTAAACAGATGTTAATTTAAATTTGAAGTAAAGGTAATCATCTATATGGCAAGATATTTTTAATAACAATTAGTAAAATCAATACAATCACATGCTGCACGATATGTGCTAGAAATCAAAAAATTTATTTGTCCATATGTGTAACGGTCTTGAAGAGTCAAAAATATATAATGACATATTAAAATTATTCTTAATACTAAGCGATATGCAAGATTATCTATCTTGAACTTATATTTTTTGTAATTTTAATAAATAAATGCAGCATAAAATTTTAGTTAGTTTAAGAAGTTAATAATATTAACGTATATTATCGCGGTTGACAATAATTATATTAAATATTTCATTATTTGCATATATTTTTTGTATAATATATGATATTATATTATATATATATATATATATATATATAAATATAATAATATGTATATAATATTTTTTAAATAATTTAATAACCGTACACAGAAAATAAAATCTAACAACTCTCTGAATTTTTGTTCAAATACACTTTCGTCGTAATAAAAATCTTAATATAAATAAAATAAGAAAAATATCAACTACTAAATTATATTTTAAACTATACGATCGTAATATATAATTTTAAGAAAATGAAACATTTACTGTATTATTTATTAAATAAAAATAATATCTAATATCGATTCAATGGATATTTAGATTTAAATTTTCAATATATTAATTTAAATTTCCAATATATTAATTGAGCTTCAGCAATGGCTACAAATGCAATATAAAAATGTCTGATTGTCAAAAACAATGAATCGATGTCGTTTTATATTAATTAATATATTACCTTTATATAATTTTTCAATGAACAATATATAGTTTTTACAGTTAATAATAATAAGTATTTTTCAGTATATAATGTACAGAATGTTACTGTAATTAATTCTTCGGTAAAAACTGTTTCTAAATTTCTTTCCAATAATTATCTAAATTTTTATTTTTTTTGTATTTATATTCAGATTTAATGCTTGTTTTCAATTTTTTTATCAAATCTTAATTAATAAAGTCACAACTAATTAAATATTGACACAAAATTAATATAATAATTTCATGCAATTTTAATTTATTCTATAAATTAGCAATTTAAACAAAATCCCCAAAAATTTATCATATGAATGTATGATATGAACAATTATAAATATTTCTGATGAATAATAATATTACTCGACAATATTTTACAGTCAAGTTGTCTTCAAATTTAGAATGAGAGATATTTTTATATTTTATTTCGATTATTTTAGCTTCCAAAAAGTATGTTATCTTATTTTATTTTCTAATCCAATATTTGATAATTTACATTATATGATGATATTTTATTTTTCAATTAAATAATGCATAAATACCTCAGCGTGACTTGAATAATACGTAAATTTTTTTATTACTAATTTTTTTTTTTTTTTTTGATTTTTATTATCCTGAGAATTTCTAATCAAACCTTTCATGTAGCTATTTAAGAACCTAATAATCAAATTAATAATCATATCATAGTATTTTTATTCTTAGAATTGAAAATATCATATTATACATATCATTTATAATAATATAAAAACAGTCAAAAAAAAATTAACCTTTTTTAAATTATTATTGTTATAATATATTAATTCAATAGAACGTAAAATAATAGATATCTTCATATGCCGAATTTATCGCTATCGTTAAATCTGTTGAAATTTATTTATAAATAATCATTTCAGGAAACTTTTAAAATAAGGTAATAATATTTATTTCCATATATGACATCATACAACGGACTTCACTAACTGTAATTAATTTTGTCAATTTTAACAAATATTAATATACTGTAAAACTGAACTCTTCCTTTTTCATTCATTAACAATAGAATCATATGATTAATAACTAATTAATTATTATTATTGTAATTAATCTATTGTAATTAATTTATTGTTGTTTGTTTGCATAAATCGCAATTATTCAACTCCAAAATTTATTTATAAGTACAATATAACGCCTGAAGTAAAAACATTATTATTTAAGATAATTACATATTATTTAATTATTAATTAACGTTGAAAATGGTTTGTCATATGTTATTTTATTCAATTAATAATATACACAATATTCTTGTTTTCAATCATAAAATTACTTTTATATATAAAATATCAAACATAATTTCATTATAAAAACTAATATGACATAGAGATTAAACACATTACAAATTACAAATTAGTAGAGATAAATTTATAATATTACTTGTTTTTTTTTTTTAATAAGAAACGTACAAATCAACATTTTCCTTCATAAAATGCTTATAATTATTCATTTCATTTTGATTAAACATGTTACGTATGTGAGAAAAAATTCTAAAAGTCGTTAAGAAAGTGAAGAATTATCTTAGACATTATTATTGATAAATAATATTATGAATATTTTCTTTTAAAATAAACAACAAATGTAATATAGAATCATTTATATTTTGCAAACAACACAGAGAATAACTTCTCGCGGTAAATGTTTCTTCTAAAAAATCGTTTTATTTGTAATTTATATTGTCTTTTCTTTTTTATTCATAGTTGGCCATTTATTCGTTTATTAGATTTAATATAGATTAATTCAATATATATATATATATATATATATATATATATATATATATGTATATATGAAGCATCTTCAATTATTACTATGATTGAAATATAAATAATACTATTATCTCTAATTAGAATATATCATTGCAAAGAAGTTCAGTATATAATTATGATTGTAGTAAAAAAGTTATCTGTAACAAGAAATGTGGTTACTATTAAAGTATGTAGAATTTATAATAAGACTGATAAGAGTCAAGATTCAGAAGGTTTGAGCCATTCTACTTTAGGGTAAATAACTATTTCCAGTTGAAACTGTAACATATGCTTTATTATGTATAACATATATTATTATCAAATTTTCACATTAAGAGAAATATTCATTTTCCTTTGAGACATATGAAAAGTATATTAATATAATTAATTAATTAATTATTCATATTTGTATATTATTATTAATTATCTATTAAAAATCATTCAAATATATAATTATATACGTAGAAACTGATTTGAATAAAATATTATAAGAATTGTAGAATTTTATCGCTCTCTTCGAATATCTTTAGTTTAGTGCGATGAAAATAATTTCTGTAGAAACTAAAACACTCGGCTCTAATTATCTATAGTATTATTATATAATGAAAATATATGGAAATAAAAATTTCAAATGAATATCAAAGAATAGCTTTGTAATGCTCAAATATTCTATATTTTTACTGATATAAAAATTATCTATATAAGTGTGTCTTTGACGTGTTATTTGATTTTTTTTTTTTTTTTTTAGATAATATTAATTCAATAATTCTTAATCTGTAATACTGTCTTTTTTACCTTTTTAGATACAAATATTTCTTCTATCTACCAAAATATGTTTATGTAAATCGTTCAGAAAACTAATATAAAATAATTATTTCATATATTCAAGTCTTAAATGGTAATTGAAGTAGAATTGATTGTAGTTGATACTCATTTGCATGTCAAATCTTTTATGTTAATTTATTAGCAAAATGTTCTTTCTTACCTTGTGTTAGCATATCTTTTAAATATAAAAATTAGTGATTTTTATTTAATTTATTATAATTCTTCTATAGTTAAGACAAAGCTTTCCACAAAATTCCTCTATTTTGCATTATTAATTCTGCACTTTTTTATTATATGTTTTACAATTTTTATTATAATTTACCTCTACTATACGTAAAACTATTTTATGAATGACATTTTATAAAACAAAATTTATTAATACATTTAAAACGCACGCATTAATTAGTTCTTATATATAAGGATAATTGGATTAATTAAAAAAAAAAAAATAAATAAATATTAAGTTTAATACAGTCAAAGGGAAGTGAAAACTGTTTTAATGCTTTTGCGAAGACAGACAGAACATTTCATTTGAAAATGACCTTTACTGTACCGAATGAAGAAACTTCGTATGCAAAGTATGTTTTAACACATGCCATTTTACGATAGACTAACGTATAATAAACTAACATAATAAATTATGTCAAATGTTTTGAAATTTATATATTCGTGTGTTGCTTATTACAATAACATATATTATATCATAGTATACACCCAAAGAAAATTAAAATAAAATACATATAACGATAGTGAGAAAGTAATTGAAAGGACTTATTAATCATTACAATTTATCTATAAAAACGCATTAATGTACTTAATTAGCGTAACTATAAAAT